ATGGATACTGATATGGTGGATGGACCTTGGGGCCGCCAGTGTCCTAGCAACCAACAATATGGTGGTGGTGGTGGGGGGAGAGGGGGGGGGCGCAAAGTCTACATCCCCCCCTAACAATGTACTCCACAACGTCATTGGTCTTTGTTGCCAGTTTCCTTAAGTCCAAAATGGCGGTATTTCTTCAGCCTTTGTGATATAATGTAAATGTGTCACTATTAAGAACTACTTGAACTGGGGGGCGCAGATACTGGATTCATCCAATGACTGCAAACAGGGAGCAAAGAGGGCAGTTTTAGGTCATGTACGGGGACCTCAGAGGACACGGTGATAAATTCTTCTCACACACCCAGATGTCCATAAAATGGTGACTTCAGATGATCAAAAATCAACATTGTCACCTTGGACCTTAATTTTTACCAGGGGCATGAAAGCACCATAAAATACACTATGAGGAGAATTGATCAAAACTGGAGCAGTTGTCCATGGCAACCAGTCACTTTCTATCTTTCATTTTCAAAGCTTAAGTGAACAAACTGAAGAGAGAAGCTGATTGGTTTCCATGGGTAACTGCTCCAGATTCTGTCTGCTCCGGTATTGATAAATTCCCCCCTATGTGTGCATTGTCATTCTTAATGGCGTGCTGGGCTGCTGTTCATTCTTAATGGCGTGCTTAGCTGCCATTCATTCTTAATGGAGTGCTGGGCTGCCGTTCATTCTTAATGGTGTGCTGGGCTGCCGTTCATTCTTAATGGCGTGCTGGGCTGCCGTTCATTCTTAATGGAGTGCTGGGCTGCCGTTCATTCTTAATGGTGTGCTGGGCTGCCATTCATTCTTAATGGAGTGCTGGGCTGCCGTTTATTCTTAATTGCGTGCTGGGCTGCCGATCATTCCTAATGGTGTGCTGGGCTGCCGTTCATTCTTAATGGTGTGCTGGGCTGCCGATCATTCCTAATGGTGTGCTGGGCTGCCGTTCATTCTTAATGGTGTGCTGGGCTGCCGTTCATTCTTAATGGTGTGCTGAGATGCCGCTCATTCTTAATGGGGTGCTGGGCTGCCGTTCCTTCTTAATGGTGTGCTGGGCTGCCGTTCATTCTAAATGGAGTGCTGGGCTGCCATTCATTCTTAATGGTGTGCTAGGGTGCCTTTTATTCTTAATGGCGTGCTTGGGTGCCATTCATTCTTAATGGTGTGCTAGGGTGCCTTTTATTCTTAATGGCGTGCTGGGGTGCCATTCATTCTTAATGGCATGGTGGGGTGCCATTCTAGGGTGCCTTTTATTTTTAATGGTGTGCTGGGGTGCCATTCATTCTTAATTGCGTGCCATTCGTTCCTAATGGTGTGCCTTTCATTGTTATAGGCATGCTAGGGTGCCATTTAATAATTGGGTGCTGTTTATTCTTAATAGCATGTTAGGGTACCGTTCATTCTTCTTGGTGTGCTTGGGTACCATTCATTCCTAATGGCACCCCAATCCCACTGGAGTACACACACGAAACCACTCCAAAACACATGGAACCATTTTGAAAAATCTTACAAGGACATGTTTTGTGTGAATGTTGTGTGTAAGGAAGACCATTGAAACGAATGGGTTTTCGTGCGTGCAATTCACAAAATCTCGCATATGTACGCTATCACACCCGAATTGTGAAGTGGGGGGTTCAAAGTCGAACTGCAGCATGTTGTATATGTGTGAACGCATCCCATAGAAAATAATGGGATTCCTTTTGTCGCACAACAGCCAAAGTGCTTCAAAAATTGTACAGATGTGAGACCCCATTCATAGCTGAATATTTCAGGCACGCATAAAGATGCACGCTTTGACGATCGTTTGCAAAACATGCTTGCTGTGCCATTACCAGTTAATGGCACCCCAAATGCAGCTGGGCAAATGCACATTTTTCCTCCACGATTGTGCACATTAACATGCGGAAAGCATGACACAGAATTTGCTACATGCACTACTTTTTGCTGCATGTCCGCATTGATTTCCATGTGGTCCTGAACGCACAACAAACGAGCCACGTTCAGGTGAATGGACATTGGTGGCTCAGCCTGTCGTACAATGCAGTGCACATACAAATACAAGTGCAGGGGACAATCCCTCCATTCTACTCACCACCCTCTACTTTTCCCTCCCTTCATTTTGCGCCAAAAGCCCCCACACTTTTCAGCTTTGGCGCGGAATTTCCTATTCAAAACATCAGGGAAGCCCGGGCAGCCGGCGGCCAATCAGCTACTCGAATTGCGCACAGAGATCCCGCCCTGTCCCTGACTGACAGCTTGAATCAGCCATTCACCTGACCGCCTCAGACACCGATCTACCAATCCGCGAGCAAACCGTGGAACGTTCCACAGTGAGCCGGATTCGGGGGGATAACATAATGAAGAGATACCGTCCAGTCTTCATCCAAAGCAGTGTCTAACAAAAGCAGCGGGTGTTTCATATCAGTAGAGATGTCTGCAGGCAGGGGAGAGGAAAGGCGTGGTTGCAGTTGTTGGGGGAGCGGCGGCGGGTCTGTTTGTCGAGGTACAAACACCCCTCACACGCAGCCGTGGGGCGTGCCAGTGGCGCGAGTCGGTTTAAGGTTTGTGGGATGTGGCGCGCTTGCCTCAGTAGGCGGAGAGCGGCGGAAGGAGAAGAGTGGAGTGGGAATTGCAGTCATGTCTCATCACTGGAACACCCGCACTGAAGAACGCAGGTAACTCATTTTAATTGTTACCATAAATAAAATTAAAAAACACCGGCTCCCTGACATCCTGGATCGGACTTCCGGGTTTTACAGCTGCGTCTGGCTCTGTTCTTATATCTGGGCCTGCTCGGTTATAAAGTAATATGATTGGGGGAGGGGGGTGTCGTTCATGTTTACCAATACTTACGGAAAGAATAACAAGAATGTAAATGGATTACATACTGACCAATCTATAATAGTTTTATTTTTTTAACGTCCCTTGGAAAATAGTATGAGGTTTGGTCGGTAGTAGTGAATAATATTTGCACTTCTTACTTAATCTGGTACAAGGCTCCTCCGGCTGGTTTATGGCACTTTAAAATTAAAGAATGGCTGCAATAGGGGGGGAAGCCCCCTGAGGGGCCCCCCATGTGTGGTGCTGGGTCTGAGGAGCTGAGGGCTCCCTGCCCTTCCTGTGTGTGGAGCTGAGGGCTCCCTGCCCTTCCTGTGTGTGGAGCTGAGGGCTCCCTGCCCTTCCTGTGTGTGGAGCTGAGGGCTCCCTGCCCCCTTGCTACCTGTTTGTGGTGCTGGACCTGAGTCCCCTCCTGGTGCTGAGGGGTAACTGCCCCACCCCCTACCAGTGTGGTGCTGGGTTGAGGGCTCCCTGCCAAACCTTTCCCTCCTAAATGCTATAAGGCCCCAAACCCTTTACCCACTTCCCCCAGCTGCACATCCTGGCTTTTCATTGTCTCCCCTGCCAGGTGTGCAGGGAGGTATCCCAATGTAAGTTGTCAAAGGCTCCCAGCAACACCCCCTATGTGTGGTGCTGGGTCAAGAAGCTGAGGGCTCCTTATCGACATCCCTCCTCCATGTATGTGCTGAGCACTCTGCCTGACCTCAAACAATTCACACCCATGTACCGGGGCTGGGCCAAGGGAGTGAGGATTTGCTGGCCTCTAATAGCCATTGGTGGGCCAAGTTGCTGCAGTCTTCCTGCTGCCCCCAACACATGCCAGCACTGGCCCAAGGAGCAGAGGACTCAATGTGACACCGTTTGGCCAAGCATCAGCGCCATCATGTGCTCCCTGTAACTGTGAATTACGGGTTTGCACCTTCACTCCTGAAGCCATGGTGAGCAGTAGGACAGTATGTGTGTGGAGCCGCCATTCGTGTCATTGTGGTCTTTCCTGCGTAGGGTAAAGTGCAGGTTTTCTTTAGGCCCCTTTTCATACAGTGTGATCAGGAAGGGATCCCAGAACAGATCTGCTGCTGATTGGTCCACCTCTGACATCCCCCTCAGTTCAGGTTTTTTTTTTCCCCCCCTCCATCTTGCGATGAAGTTACTGAGATCTCCGTTTACATCTGATTGCCCCGCTCCGGAATGATCAGATCCAGCGAAACAGAATTCTGACCAGTTTGTTTATTTGGACCTGGCAAAGCTGCAGGTAACCAAATGTAAACGGACTTGGTCGGAAAGCCCATGTGAAAGGGTTCTTAGATGGTTTTTCTTTGGGGGGGGGGGGGTCCTTGATATAATGGCTGAGTATTCTCTGTGCATGGCCATCTTCAGAGTCGTCGTGTGTCCCCTCCCCCAAGCCATGCTGTCCACTATTGATGATCTTTGATTCGCCAGCCGCTCACTTCCTGTACAGTGTTCCCTAGTTTGGGTGCATCTTATGTCTGGCAATCTGGACTGCTGATAGTCTACCCTTCCGAAAAAATAACTTTATCCCTGAACGATTTAACCTAAAAGAAAGATCAGGTATGTTTTTATATTTTTTTTTGCAAACCCTGCCCGTGGCCAGCCTGACATGGTCGCACAATAGGCAGGTTTGGGGTGATTTTTAAATGGCTTTATAGAAGTATCAAGGCAACTTTGCAATGACTGTGTGAACTGTGAAATGGTCAACTGTTTCTAATGCAAGCTATGTGCCACTGAAAACTGTTGAATTGCACAATGTACACGCAGTGGAGGTGATCTTGTGGTCTGAACACTTAATGCTGTTTTATAGCGTTACAATGCAAGCTTGTTTCCTCAGTGTTTGCTGCAGCAGCACCTTGAATTGGCAACCTTGGAATGAGTTAACATGCTAAAATGTTGCCCGCAGAAGCCGGATGTGTATTTTTATCTAACGTTGGCTGCTTGTTAGTGTGACATGCACTGTATTAGGTATTCCCACTCTGTGCTGTGCTCCTTAAGCTGTGCAGTCGGCATCCATCTTTTACTAAACGAGTTACAGGATAAGCCACCTAGAGGTTGTCCTCTGCAAAGTGTTAGAGGCCTCTTCTGTCGGCAGAAGCTGTGGTTAAGTCTGTAAACTAGATGCATAGCGCATGTTTCAGAGAAGATACTGCTGCTCTCTGTGCTTGGGCGCGCTGTTCACACATCACGTTCTGATTTTAGGTGCGGTTTTCTGTACAGCGCACATTTTAACATACGCTACTACTATAGCCTGAAAGCGCAGAAGTCACCCAGAATATCACACTTGCCCTTTTTGTGACGTGCAGGTGTGCACAGGGTACATTAAAATGTACTGGTTGCTCTGGGCGTATCCGAATAGGCGTGGAAAAATGCACTGGTGTGAACAGAGTCTTACACTTTACCTATTTTATATATTATATATACCTATTTTATATATTTAAAATATACCTATTTTATATATTTATATAAATGAATCAACTCCAATGTCCAGATGTGGTCTGGCGATGGTGTAAACAAAGCCTCAGGTTTATCTGCATTATGTCACTGCATTGTGAAATACACATGGCTCATTCTGCATTCTCTGGTTGGAGCTAAAAGCTTTTATCTAGTGGTCTGTATTAGAAGTGTCTGTAAAACCTCTTAGCCCATGGATGTGATAATTTCCTCTTACGTCCACCACCTTCAAAGCTTGGAATACCATAATTTTTTGTTCCATAATTGCACCCATACATTGGTGCTTGACAAATCCCTGGAGTCAGGTAGCCAGTGCTCCTTAAAATTACAGCTGGTACCTAAATATTGAGTCTTCCAATAGAGCCTTGCCTTGTTTTACTAATGGTTTATTTATTTTTTTCAGACCTCAACCACCATCTCGCTGGTCTCAGGGACGCAAACGCCGCTCCGATGGTAACCTTAGACGACGTGATGACGACGACTCCACTGTTTTTGATGAAAAGCCTCCCCAAGAGTGTAGCAAGCGCCCTGACAGGTACCATACAGTCCTCCTGTACCTGGTAATATTTTAGACAGTTTGACTTTGTGATTAACACAATTCGGAGGATGCCGCACTCCACAGATCTTCACTGACAATAACATTTTTTATTTACAAAGCAGATACTTTTTCCTCTCCACATATACTCAACCTTTAATGCATTTCACCATGTCGGTTTACTTGTGTAGAGTCCGTGTAAGCTGACATGGTAAAATGCATTGGGGTTAAGGATATGTAGGGGGGAAAACAAGTGTGCATCTGCTTTTTAAATAGATATGATCTTTGGTGAAGATGGCGTGGGGTGCGGAATCCTTTGAGTTGTGTTACTACAAGTGACGGTGTGCTTTTTGCCTGCACCTGGCATACATTTGTGTTGGGAAGCCAGCTTCAGAATGTGAGCAGTGTTTGATGTGGAACATACACTCAGCAGCCACTTTATTAGGTTACTCCTTGCTAGTATCAGGTTGGACCTTCAGAACTGCCTTAATTCTTCGTGACATAGATTCAACAAGGTGTTGGAAACATTCCTCATAGATTTTAGTCCATGGTGACATGATAGCATCATGGGCCCAAAGTGTGTCAAGAAAATATCACCCACACCATAACCACCAGCCTGAGCCATTGATACAAGGCAGGATGGATTCTTGTTTGTTTAAACCAAATTCTGACCCTACCATCTGAATGTCGCAGCTGAAATCGAGACATCAGACCAGGCAACGTATTTCCAATATTGTCCATATTTGCTGAGCCTGTGCGAATTGTCGCCCCAGTTTCCTGTTCTTAGCTGACAGGAGTGGCACCCGGTGTGGTATTCTGCTGCTGTAGCCCATCTGCTTCAAGGTTGGACGTGTTGTGCGTTCAGAGATAGTATTCTGCATACCTCAGATGTAACGAGTGGTTATTTGAGTTACTGTTGCCTTTCTATCATCTCAAACCAATCTGCCCATTCTCCTATGACATCAATAAGGCATTTTCAGCCGCTCACTGGATATTTCTTGTTACAGATCCTGGTGATCAGTAATACCAAGCTTGTTCAGACACTTGTGTATTGTCATTAAGAAGGAAATCGAGCCATGCTATTACATGGGCCAGCTATTGATGTGCTTGGCTGACCTCTCAATGTTCTTATCTTACTAGCTTCACCACCCCAGAAACCCACAGGCCTGTGTCAAGATGTAAGGACTGGGGATCGACAGTGGAGGAAGAAGAAACATTGAAAGAAACTGTGGAAAAAGATTTGGCCAGGTAAGGAGGAAAAAAAGCATCTGAAGGCTCCTTGATGTTGCAACGAATCTCTGATTTTTAGATTTTTATCAGGGGTTTTTAATGGTCACCTTTCTCCTGTGCAAGGGGAAAGCTGTGCAAGATAAATCTAGTGTTACTAACAGTGCTTTGTTTTTTGGTGGACAAGAGGCAAACAATTGTAATGTTGGTCTTGTGTGAGCAGAGTGGAAGCTCAAATTTTTTTTACTTTTATAAAACCTCAAAGGTCAGGACAGTAAACTTCAACGCCCCTCCCCTATTGTGAAATAGGAGTCTTACTTTCCTGTCCAGGCCATTTTTCAGTGTTCAGCGCTGCGGTACTTTCACTGACATTTATTCCGTCATGCAACGCTGTACTGAAATGAATTTTATACCATTTTTTTGGGGGGACAATTTTCTTTTGGAGGCATTTAATCACCAATGGGGGTTTTATGTTTTACTCTAAAGGAAAAATGACCATAAATTTTGGGGTGAAAGGTTTCCCCTATAAAATTATGAACATTTATTATTACCCAATTTTTTGGTAAAATATAAGACGGGGTCACGTCGGGTAAATGGACAATAAAAATGCCAGGCCACGAAACCTCGATAAACTACAATACTCAAAATTGGCCATAGGCGATGTTTACAAACTTTTACCGCTCATCAGTTTAGTGTTATCGGTGATTGATGGGCCTAGAATTATTGCTCTCAGACGTTCGCGGCGATAAGTAACGTGTAGCGCAATTGTTGTTGGCGCACCCGACACCTATTTACGTTTATATGTATGTGGGGGTCTTAAGATATAGATATAGCACATTAATGTACAGGCCACACATGAAGGTTTGATATGAGGGGGATAGGGCTGTCCGATATAAACACTAAAGTGTACAGAGCGCCTCAAATCTGTTCTGTACACTGTCTGATCTGAGCTGTCGGATGATGGCTTGGTTCAGTCATTCATGAACACAGTGGTTTCCTGTGCTTTTTCTGCAGTGTCATTTATTTATGGTACTGCAGAAATATACATCCACCACCCCGCTGTTTTAAACCTACGGCTGTAGTTACATAGTTACATAGTATTTGAGGTTGAATAAAGACATTAGTCCATCAAGTCCAACCTATTAGGATCTCATTCTAGGAGTACCTGTACCCCTGTATATTACGGTCCCTTAAGAAATCGTCCAAAAGTTTCTTGAACAATTCCACATTATTTGCTGAAATCACCGCCTGTGGCAGTGAGTTCCAGACCCTAACTGATCTTACTGTGAAGAACCCCCTTCGCCCCTTGTGCTGGAATTTTTTTTCCATCAATTTTAGGTGATGGCCTCTAGTTTTTGTAACGGAGTTAATTTTAAACAGTTTATCGCTAATGTTGCTACCACCATTAAACATTTTGTACATGGAAATCATATCCCCCCTTAATCTCCTCACCTCTAATGTGAACATGTTTAAATTTAGTAGCCTCGTCTCGTAGCTCTGGTCCTCCATACCCCTAATTAGTTTGGTTGCCCTTCGCTGGACTTTTTCCAACTCAAGGACATCTTTTCTTAGTACTGGTGACCAGAACTGGACCGCGTACTCCAGATGAGGTCGAACCAATGATCTATAAAGTGGCAAAATTATAGACTTGTCCCTGCAATACATCCCCTTTTTAATACAGGACAAGACCCTGCTAGCTTTGTTTACAGCAGCCTGGCACTGCAAACTACCTTTCAGTTTGTGGTCTACAATGACCCCCAAATCCTTCTCCATTTCTGACTTCCCCAGCGGCATACCCATAATTGTATAACCCATTTGTTTATTTTTAATTCCAAAGTGCATTACTTTGCATTTATCGACAGTAAAGTGCTTAAAGGCGTGCTCAGTTTTATTGTCCTTTAAAGTGGATCCATTCTTAGATTTTGCATCTCACATGAATCAGGAGGGCACGTCTGTGTTTTCTATTAAAAGACCTGCATGTGATAATGAGGCTTCCCCTCAGATACTTTAAATCCATAATGGCAGCTACGCTGCCACATATTTGCCTTTGACCATCGTCACTGTTGTGCTGGAAGCGGGCTCAATCCTCACCTCCAACACAGTGTTGTTGGACAGCTCTAATACACATCAAGGACCTGCAAGACAGGCTCCCAATCACATGATCACTGGCGCCAATCTGTAAACACATGATCCGAAAGCCCACAAAACCCTTTTTACTCTGGAAGCATTTTACCATACTTGGCTATAAATGACCATGGGTCCTCGCGAAGATTGTTTGGATGTTGAACAAGAGGTAGGGTTTGTCTTTTCTTGTCATATTGAAAAGAATTTTGCTAAAGTGTTGCTTTCTTTTCAGGTACAGAAGAAAGCTGCTTATTAATGAGTTTGGGCCAAGGGAAAGAAGATCGTCTTCTGGAAGGTAATGCACCTATTGGAAATGGTATGGTAAACTATTTGGATGTTTTTCAGCATATGTGAATTAAACATTGCTGCCTGCTCTCAGCCAAATAAGATTTAGCCTTCCAAAAGGGACAATTACTATTTTTAGCTATGCATGACACTGGCATGTATCTTGGATCTGATGCAAAGATTCTTTAAAGAAGAACTATGGGGTCAGGACTTTTCCCCATAGTTCTCCGGGTAACGGGAGGACACAAACTAGCGTCCTCCCGTCACCCTAAGCTCAGTATACCGCGAGCTACAGCTCACGGTATACTGAGACGCTGAAGCGGATCCCAACAATTATGTCTGCATCCGCTGCGTGAGTGACAGCTGGCTCTGCCTATCTAGAGGCGCTCCCCTGTCCGTTCCGCCAGTCAGCGATGGAGGGGGAAATCCAGTCCTTCCCCTGTCACTGCAGAGAGCAGTCACAGGATCGGGAAGTGAGCGAACGCTGGTATGTGTTTGGTCACTTCCCGATCTACTGAGCCGACCTGTGAGTGTCATTGTCACAGGTCAGCTAGAACTATGAGGTGAGTGAAAATCACTCACCTCATAGTTCTCCTTTTTAATGATTCCTATTTTCTTATTCTAGCTTCTTTAGCGCCATCTTTTGAAATTGTCTGGACTCACCTTTGCATTTATTTTTTTTTGCTTGATTTATTTTCAATTGAAAAGCATGTTGCTGTGCATCATGATGAATGCTGAGATGTGTGTAACAATGTTATGCACTTCCTGAGATTTGAATAGTGAATGCGCCAGGAAGAAAAATGTAGGTGTGCATAGGCCTATAATCAGAATTTGATGATGCGAAGGGCTTGTACAAACATCAAAGGGAAAACTCTCCTATTGAGTTTGTTACCAAGATAGCCAGACAATGAGCATGTTCAGGAGGAAGTGGTCATTAGTTGCTGCCTCTGTGGTTCTCATGGTGTGTTGCATAGCTGAAGTTGGTCATCTTGCAGGAATATATCTGAGCTCTTTAGTTCAAGTCTGTCTAAAATCAAGACTACGTTCAGGCTTTAAAGATGGCTTCATGCGCATATGTTCACTAAGGTTTCATCTCTTTGAAGCTCTGATTCAAAGGATTCCTCCACTCATGGTGAAATGGAAACAGACTCTTCTGTTCTGGCCAGAAGACAGAAGCAGATAAATTATGGAAAAAACACCATCGCCTATGACAAATACACAAAAGAAATTCCGAGGTAAGGATTGATTTCTAAATGAATACAATAAAAGAAAATAGTGCTAATAGATTATAGAAAGATTTTGGGTTGTCAACAGAACAGAAATGGGGGGGTGTTCTTCCAGTGGGGGTGCTTGTTCCCATGACAACTGAGTGAATTTATTTCCCTTTAATTGAAAGGAGATCTTCCCAATTCTTGAGTCTACATGAAGTGAAGGGCAATGTCCCTGACATTGGTTCTAACCCTCCCCATTTCTATGCAAATATGAGAAGTTTTTGTAATTTTTCTTGGCTTTCGTTAAGCTGCATGTAAGGATGATCTGTGGATTGGCCTAACCCAGGGGTAGCCAACCTCCGGCCCTCCAGCTGTGGTGAGAACTACAAATCCCATGATGCATCTCTCTCCGGGAGTTATATCTGTGGCTGTGAATATTGCAATGCCTCATGAGATTTGTAGTCGCACCACAGCTGGAGGGCCGGAGTTTGGCTACTCCTGGCCTAACCTATCAAGCATCGGAAAGTTACCAAAGTTGTTTCTCCGGTGTAAAAAACATGATGGAGCTACTCTTTAAATTGATCTTGGTCAAGTGCAGGATATAAAGTGAACAGATTGTTATTATCCTGCACACTACTAGTTTTTAATGTTGATTGTGGTATTTGGCCATTCTAAGAAGCCATGTGTGGCTTTTTTTTAATCACCTGGTTTTTTTTTTTTTTATTTAGACACATGAGGCAGCAAGGAGTTCATCCTCGGACCCCTAACAAATTTAAGAAATACAGCCGCAGGTCATGGGACCAACAAATCAAGATTTGGAGAATTGCTCTACATGCTTGGGATCCTCCTGCTGAAGAAGGAAGTGAACTGCAGCCATTGTGAGTGAAATTTCTGTATAGATTTCCTATAAGATCTTTGTGGGTGATCGCTCCTGACCATCTGCTGATGGGACGCAAGCCTAGTTTGCCCTGATAGGCGAGGAAGTTAGTCACTTTTCCATAAGTCACGGCTGAGAGGTCTGACGCTGTGCCCTTTTGTGGGGGTTTTATATACCCTCTTAACTGGGCCAAATTTTCAGTTAAAGTACAATGAAAACTGGGGACGTGGTCTTGCTGCCCACAGAAGTGGGGCTAAAAATGAATCTATTGGCACTTCTTCCTCAGTCTTCATTGATCAGCTCAAGGTGGCATTTTGTACCAGCTTGTAGAGCACATTTGTTCCCCTCCTGTACTAAAATTCTGATTTCACCTCACACTGAGCTTTCAATAAGGCCTGGAAGCTGAAGCAAGTAAGAGCCGACTTAATTGGCTGGAGGAAGTACATTTAGCCTTTTCCACCCAAGTCTGACTTGTTCTTCCCCTTTTTTCATTTAATGGGTTTCAGCTATGAAGGCTTAGTATCACATGTGGGCATTACCGCAGCTTCCTAATTTAAAGAAACTATATCATTCCGCCAGCCCCAATCTGCCTGCATTGCATAGAGAGGTACAGAAAATAATTTAATTAGCATGTTAAGTGGGAAAGGGGAAACCATGAAGTCAAAGTATAAGTAGATTAAACCTTTGCTTTGAGTAGAAAAAAAAAGGCAGAAGTGGCATAAAACCATTTTCTTTAGAAAGCTTGGGTTACTATTCCTAGCTGGCACAGGCAGTGTTATAGTATATACATTATTGGACTTGGCCAACAGATAATGTAAACAGTCAATTATTGTACTGATGCATTTATGGCAATACAGGAGGGAATGCAACTGCTCCGCTATGTGTGTGATTAAAAAACTTGCGTTGATGATCAGCCTCTGAAAGTTTGTATCTCTCCTCTTTACAGCAATGAAGAAGACATGACCCCCTCGGAATCTATAGCTGATGACATTTTGGTAAGTACTGCAGAATATTTTTTCCCTTCACTTGTTTTAGAGCTGCAGCTAACGATTATTTTCAAAATCGATTAGTTAGCCGATTATTAGGTTCGGTTAATCGGATAAACAATAAAATAAAGTTTAAAAAATGGCTCCAGTGATGGGACTACTAGTTTGTATTGAGGTTGTAGTCCATCAAAGGAGCAAGCTTGGAGCGGTGGAAGTAAAAAAGAAAAAATAAGTGTGGTGTGCAATATAGTGAAATGGAAAGTGTAAAATTATACAGCAATCAATGCAGAATGGCACCGACTATAGAGGACTGCAAAAGCACATTATAAAGCGCAATGCAGAATACCGCCAGCTATAGAGGAATACAACACATCATAGCAATAGTACAATATAGCTGTACCCGCCCCCATCCGTTCCGCCAGCCAGTGCTGGAGAATAGGACAGGGGAGGGGAGAATCCCTGCAGGGAGCCATGAGTGACGGTCACAGCTGTGCACAGATCGAGAAGTGAGCGCCGGTATGTGTTCGCTCACTTCCCGATCTACTGAGCCGACCTGTGACAGTTTTTCATTGTCACAGGTCAGCTCAGATTGAGGCTGTGTGAAAATCACTTGCCTCATAAGTCTCTAAGTTATTGAAATCAAATCATATTGTAGAAATGAAGCAGAATTAGTTGTAATGGAGACTATAGAAGTCTATAGAGAATGTAAAACTGCTGCAATGCTCCATGTAATGTCTGATCTTTGCTTTGACATCTTGTTTCTATTCAGTTTGAAGGCACCCCAACCAAGGTCAGGAAAGTTGAAGCGGTGGATGAATTCGACCTGGAAATGTGCTTGGGCGAACAGTATTTGAGTTAAATGTCTTTTTTCCACGTTCCTTCCCTCCAGCAGTGCACTGTACATTGGATCTTTTATCTGCTCTCCGAGGGTGGAGGGTTTCCTTTGCTGTTCTGCAGACCCAAAGGACTTGTTGGCCACATACAAATGTGTACATGATACTGGCAGCTACATTTTATAGAAGCACTTGATGCTGGAACAGCAGAGCTGTCGGCCAATTTACTGGAAATGTGCTACTATTGTGCTGGATTCACACAGGTTTAATGCAATACTTTCTGCTAGAACATTCCCAGAGCTCGTGAAATGACATTTTCATGTTTGGTTATACTTGGAATTTTATTTGGTTTCTTCCTGGTGTTGTATAGCGGTCGTCTCTAGCCACCAGATTTCAGTCTGGGTCTTTTCCTTGACGCCGTTCTGTTTGCTTTATATTATTGCTGCTGATGGCCTTAAAATGTAAAATTCAGACTTTTTTTTTTCCAGGATGTTTAGCATAATTTTTTTACTGTATGCAGTTTTTTTATGCCGATCCTTTGCAAAGCTTCTTACCTGGGGAGCCTGCCAGTAACAGCATTTCTGTTGCAGGTATTGCCAAGCTACTTCTTTGCAATGAGTTGCAGTTTTATCAGCCTGCCATGCTTTCTAGTTTGGTTGCCCATTTAGGCTTAAGCTGGCCATACACTATACAAATTTAGGCCAGTTCTTGATGGAACCAGTTGAAATTCACACAGTGGGTACCACTGTCGGCACTCTTCCGGCCGACGTCCCTCGATCAGATCGAAGTAGCCGGTTAGAAAAGTCTTCGCATGAACAAAGCGGGCAGCCAATGAGCTGGCAGCTCTGTTCAGGTATCCTGGCTGCTGTCGGAATACAGTGAACACTGCGAGAGGTTCCTCGAGCAAGGCTTGTAAGCGTTAATGGAGGAAACTTTAATTCAGCCCGCAGATGGAACAAATAAATTATTAGTGTATGGCCAGCTTAACTTTAGGTTTGCAGAAGGCATGTGCAGACCTGATATGCAGCCAACTAAAAAGCTTTTACAGCAAGTTGATATCACTGTTGCCAATTGCGAGGCAGTAGCTTGGCATTCTTGGCTAGCAACAGGAAGGGTTACTTGCACAATCTGCTGGTCAGAAACTGCAATCGCTAAAAGGATTTGTGAAAGAAAAATCTATACAGCGTGTGCTTTAATATGTGTCTGCCGGTGCAAATGCACCATAAAGCTGGTTTGCAGTGTGCGTTGTAATGCATCACAATGCTTTTACATTTACACTTCATTTGACACTTCATGCGCTGAAACACATTACAATGCGTTAGCGTGTCAGAATGTGCTGGACAAAAATTCAAAAATATTTTCTTTTTTTGCTTTTACCAACACCACTTGTTGGTGTGAAGTGGAGCAAAAAACATGAGCCCAAAGTTGCCTTGGCTTTGCACTGTGCCCAGAAGGGCGGGTGTAATCGCGCTATAATACATGAAGCTGAACATACTGAGATTTTAGGTTTACATACTCAAATTTGTAAAGTTCATCGGCTTTAAAAATTTTTAGAAAATGTGAAGATTATTTTGTAAATTAACTCCCCACGTTATTAAAAATAAACTCTGCCCTGCAGCAGTTTTGAATGCATGAGAGTTAATGTGGTTATACAGACCCCACCAGTTCCATCGGTCTAAAATTTACCTGTAGCTCGAAGTTGGTGGTCAGGTGACTGCCACATGATGGTCCTATAGAATATTCGCATGCACAAGAACATGGACCAATTCCTCTTCGATGACTGCAGACATGAAATGATGGCTGATCTTGAGTGTTTTAATGTTTCCTGTGCCTCTCTTCTGGTGAGTGCCTGAACAGCTTTGGATGCTCTGCAGTCGCTGGTTGTGGCTACATCAGTGTATTTTACCTGAATGCTCGCTCATGAGCAGTGAGCAACATCTGGTAGATGCAAAGACCTGCTGTGTACGTCAGCTGCTTGATGGGCTTTGCAGCAACAGTGACTTGTGTATCTCTTTAGAAATGGAGCTGTTGACATAACGGATTGTACATTGGTGGGGAGAGAACTTCAGAGGCATCTTTTTTGCATCCGTGTCCATCCTACACTCGCTTGTCATACATGACCGCTTCATCCTTGGAGATAAATGAGGCCTGACCTTTTGTGCAGCAAAAGTCTATTGGAGGAAATGCAGAGTACTGTACTGAATATTGTCTTCAGCCAAATAAAATGATCAATTTATAAGAATGGAAAATGCAAGTTTAATTAATGGACAAGATATTTGGTAGCAGCAGGTAAGTTCTGAAAGTGTAACTTTGTCAGAAATGTGTTTTAAAGGTTAAACCACTCGTTGCACAACGGTGTAAAGTTAACATTGTAGAAGTTGCTCTGTGCGGCTGCCAGGACAGCAAGCCCTGTGTAAGCTCCGGGCAGCCTTGTCAAAGCTCACACAAGGCTATATGGACTCCTTTCTGACAGCACTTTGCCAATCACAAGGTACCAGCTCTGTCACATGCTCGCCCATACTGGGTATTTCTTTGCTTTTCCTTTACTAGTCTGTTGCTCAGTTTGGCTACTGAAAGCAAAGTATAAGCTGCTGGGGTCAGGAGAGCTAAGTGAACACTTAGCTTGGAAAGGTTCACTTTCGGCACCAGCTTTACATCTTGTGCAGTTTTGTCTACATGGCTTCAGGGACTTGTTCAGCCTTTGAGATATTGCACCCTGTTAAATCTGCCCAGTTCTAAAATAAGAGCTAGTTCTGCTCATCACATGGGGTCAGTTCATAAGGCCTTTGTGACGTATGAATACTTTGCATGATACTTTTAAATGATTCTAGAACCACACCTTGTTGTACATAGTTGGCAGCATTGTATATATTTTCTGACCTTAAGCTGGCAATGCATATAGTTACAGAAGTTTTAAATCTTGTAACCCTCGATGTACAAACATTGTAAATGTTCATTAATTTTTTTTTTGTACATGGCAGTTGTATACTTTCATGTTGTTTACCAATTCACCTGTAACAAATTTTGATAAAATAAAACAATTGCTGTCCTTTTCGTTCTTACAAATGTCTTTTTTTTTTTTTCCTTTGCAAATGTGCTATTAACCCCTTCACGACTGACTGTACAGTGTACGTCGCTAGCATTGGGGCTGTTTTTGAAGCTGGGACTCGACATTTTAAACTTGTAAAGCCGACTGTCTGCTTTACAATAGAAGCGTTTTGGGCGACTCAGCTGTCACCAGATCGCTTTTTACTTGCCTGGTGAAGGGGTCCCAGCCGGGCTCCATTGCCCCTCCTACGGGTCCCGGGACCGGCTTCGCTGGTGTCAGTGGGGAGATGGACGAACCTCCGTTCGTCGATCCCCGTTCTATGGGACCGGGCGAGATGCAGATTGCATCACTTCTGGTCCCATAGCTGTCAGTGCTGGACTCCTGAAGCCCAGCTATAAGCTATTGAAGTGCGATCTGCACTTCAATTAGCTTATTTGTATTGTAAAGGTGACACAGGGTCTTTTTGGATCCCCAGCATCACCTTAGAGTACCTGTCGCCACAATCTCCTATCACATGGGCGAATTGTAAGCCCCCCTATGTGATGGAAATCAAAATAAAGTACAAAAACGTTTTTTAAAATTAAATAAAATCCAAAAACTATTTTTAAAGGCCCCAGCGAGCTCATGCGTTGCCACGTAAACACGTGTCGGGTGTGCCTACATATGAAAGCGACGAATGCACTACACGTGTTGGGTATTGCCCCGCACGCTGGAATTAGCAATAATTCTAGGGTCAGTATTTTTGGGTATCTCTAAATTGATGACCTGTGGACGCTTTTAAAGCGCCTATGGAATTTTTGGGGTACTGAAGTTTGTTGCCGTTTCATTGATGCACACAATTTTTAACCAACATGTTGGGTATCTATTTAGTCTGTAACCTCATCTTTTATGTTTTAGTTTTAAAAAAAATGGGTATTTTATTGTGTTTTGGGGCACTTAAGTACATTTTTCACTAAATTTTGGGGTTTGTTAAGGAGTTGCGCTAATATCGTGCAACATAAAAATTTGCAACTGCCACCATTTTATGCTATAGGGTCTTGGCTTTCTGAAAATATAAGTATAAAATAATTCTAATAAATAGATATAATAAATAATATCTATTTCCGAAAATATGTTTGGGGGTTTTAAATAATTTTCAGGCCTAAAATGTAGAATTAACATGGGTGCAAAAAATGAAAAAAGGCCTCAGTCATGAAGGGGTTAAAGGAAATCTGGTAGTAAAAGCAATTTGCAGGCAGCTGTTGCCAAACTGCCTTCTGAAAATGGGATTTTTGCTTATGCCACCCTTGCCTTTGGTGGCCTCTTGCAACACTGACCCAAATCTTTATGCAGATTGAGGAGTTCAGACTTCACTGGTTGTATTTTGTTGCAGGTCAAGGTATTGTTGCCAAAGACATTCAGGAAATGAGCTTTTTAGGCCAGTGGCAGCCTACATATTTCCTTCATGACAGTGGGGGGGCGGCGGTTGTGGACTTTGTGATGTTGGAAGACAAACAAGAACTGTTTTATTCTCAAATTAGATATATGGGTTGGCTAAAAATGTTTAGAGATCCATCTCAAACTGCTTTGCCTTTTGGCTTGGTCATTAGGGCTTGCTTATATGTTGAAACAATAAGGAACCTCCTGCTGGAAGTCTTGTTATTTACTGATGGCCTAAAATGGTTGTCTGACCGGCTTGGGTACACTAGCCTGAAATCAGAACATCTGATCTGCATACCCATTTAAAGTCCAGTGATTCAAGTATTAAAGCCATTGGATCAGCATGACCGCCAGATAACTAGCCTTTCTATAGGTTCTCAATTTGCCACATGGGGGGAGGTCAATAATTCAGAGACTGGTTGTATGCCTACAGAGTATTGGACACTGGCATATAAATTGTGGGCCAGTTCTACTTCAGAAAGCATCACTTTGGGCCAGTGCCCTAGGGGGATGGATTTTGATCTGAAAAGTCTAACCTTTTTGCTGGCTTCCCCCCTTAAGATTTCTGCCACATCGCTGACGAGCTTGATCACTAGGTGCTGTTATTCTGACAGGCCTATCAACACCTTTTTGACTTTGAAGCACTGGGCTGGATGTTCCAGCGGGGCTAGCTTGGAACGTGAGCTTCAGAGCTTGTGTACTGCATAAGTTGGTAGCAGAGTGCTCTCCAGGTCCAGAGTTGTGGCAAAGCCCCAAGTGTGACCCTATTGCTGGAGACTTTGTGAGTAGGCTGGGCACTGTGAGTAAGGACCATTAGGTGATGT